GTGACATCAAAAAAGAAATGGGGAGGAGAAAGAAGGATAAGTTTGTGGCAAAGAGAAAGACATGGAAGTTGCTGGATGCAGAGGTGAGGAAGGCATTTGAAGTGAAGGTGGCTGAAAATTGGGAGAGTGGTAAGGATGGAGATGTTTGGGAGAGATACAGGGACTGTGTGTTGGCTACGGCAGATAAAGTATGTGGATGGACGAAAGGAAAGTGTAGGCATGGTGAGACGTGGTGGTGGGATGAAGATATAAAAAGTGTTTTGGAGGTCAAGAAGGTTTAGGGGGTCAAGAAGGTTTAGGGTATGGAGAAGGGACATGACGAAGGAAGCGGAGTCTGAGTATAAGAAGACTAAGAAGGTTGCAAAACAGGCAGTGGCAACTGCAATGACGAAAGCATCAGATAGGTTAATGAAGGAAATGGAATTTGATGTGAGTTCGAGGAAAATGTTCAAAGTAGCAAAGCAGTCAATGAGGGATAGGAAAGATGTTATAGGGAATGGGTGTGTTTGGAATGGATTTGGCAAGTTGTGCATAGATTAGGAGGAAAAAGCTTAGGTGTGGAAAGCTCATATGGAAAGGTTGATGAATGAAGAGAATGAGTGGGATGGAGATGTGGAATTCGCGGTCACACACGGCCCCATAGAGAAGGTGACGATGGAGGAAGTAGAAAAAGCAGTTGGGAAAATGAAACTAGGTAAGGCGACAGGAGTTTCGGAAGTGGCGGCGGAACATATAAAGACGAGTGGGGTGATAGGAATTGAAGTTATGATGAGAATTGCTAACGGTATGTTTGATGATGAAGGTATGCCTGAGGATTGGCGACACAGTGTGTTGGTGCCGTTGTATAAGGGCAAAGGAGATGTGAGAGATTGTGGGTCATATAGGGGTGTGAAATTGCTAGAGCACGGAATGAAGGTAGTGGAGAGGGTGCTTGAGAGGAGGTTGAGAAATATGGTGACAGTTAATGAAATGCAGTGTGGGTTTATGCCTGGTAGGGGGATGGTGGATGCGTTGTTCATGGTGAGAATGTTGCAGGAGAACTATAGAAAGAAGAAATGAAGATTGTACATGTGTTTTGTGGATCTAGAAAAGGCTTTTGATCGAGTACCGAGGAAGGTTGAGGAAGAAAGTAGTGAATGAGAGACTTGTTAAAGCTGTGATGCAGCTGTATGAAGGGGCAAAGACAAAGGTGAGGGTTGGAAGGGGGATGTCGGACGCTTTTGGTGTTAAGGTAGGAGTGCATTAAGGTTCAGTGTTATCACCGTTTCTGTTTGCAATTGTGATGGATGTTGTGTGTGGAAACATAATGGAGGGGTTGTTATTTGAGAGTTTGTATGCAGATGATTTAATTGCAGTTAAAATTTGACAGATGGAAAAGTGTTATTGAAAAGAAAGGGTTAAAAGTTAATATTGGTAAGACGAAGGTAATGGTGGGTGGGGAAGGTGGGGAGCGAGTGATAAGTAAAATAGACCCCTGTGGGGTATGTGACAGGAGAGTGAAGGCTAACTCAGTATTGTGTATAGGATGTCAGAAATGGGTGCATAAGAGATGTAGTGGTGTGAGGGTGGCACTGAAAAAGGTGGAAGGCACGTTCAAATGTAAGAAATGTGTTCATGGTGTGATTAATAGGACGGACGCAAGGACGGGGTTGAGTGGTAGTATTGAAAGAGTGGAAAGCTTTGTTTACTTAGGGGATAAGCTGAACGCGGATGGAGGATGTTTGAGCGCAGTTACGGCTAGAGTTCGTGTGGGATGGATGAAATTTAGGGAACTGGGTGGGGTATTATGTGGAAAGAAATGGTCAGTGAAGATGAAAGGGAGGGTATATAAAGCATGTGTGAGAGCAGCGATGGTATATGGTGGTGAAACTTGGGTGTTGTGGAGAGAGGAGGAAAGTGTACTGCAGAAGGCTGAAAGAGCTATGATGAGGATGATGTGTGGGGTTAAAGTGAAGGATAGGAGGAGTAGTACAGAGCTGATGTCAATGATGGGACTGAATGAGGACATTGTGACATTGATAAGGAGATCGAGATTGCGGTGGTATGGACATGTGTTGAGAAGGGATGAAAAGGTCAGGATTAGGCGAGTGTTGGAGTTCGAGGTTGAAGGAGTGGTAGGAAGGGGTCGTCCGCGATTGGGATGGAGAGAGCAGCTGGAGAAAGACAGGGTGAAAGCGGGGTTGCGTGATACTGAGGCGAGTGACAGATGTGGATGGCGTCGAGGGGTATTTCGGTTTCATCATAGGTAGCCAAACGGCAACCCCCGATCTCGGGGAAAATGTCGTCTAAACGTGTGTTGTTGTTGTTGTATTTAATACATACTGCCTATATATATAGGTTCCCCTGATTTCACAATATTCTCCGCCAGCTTAATCACCTCCACGAATTCATCCACAGTCACATTTCTTAACTCTGACCATTATCTACCCATCATAATAACAATAGAAACAGCTAATCACATCACAACATCAACATCTCAAAAGCCGACTAGGATGCATTTACCACAGAAACGGAATCACTCTTTCAATCAGCACTCTACAGCCTCCTGAATCTTTCCTACCAGCGATCGTCACCTACCTTTAGCCAGCTGACCTTAAACATGGTTTTCACCCGAACTACTCCACTACCACAGCCCTACTTCAGCTTTCCACTAACTTTGCCAACGGACTCAACCAAAAAAAGCCGGCTCACCTCACTATTGCCTCATCAAAGCTTTTGACTGTCAAACACCTCATCCTGCTCAAAATCAATCCACCTTGCCACCCTAACTCACTAGATTGATTTCCAACTGTCTAAATTGTTTATGCAATCTCTAATGCAAAATCCATTTTCGCAACATCACCTCAAACACAAGGATTATTTACGCAGAAGTTCCTCAAGGCTCTGTAATCTCTTCTGCCCTATTCAATGCCTACGCGAACGGACGACTTACAGTTTCATCTTCCTCTTATTGGACCAATCACGACCGCTCTCAATAACTACCTCACAAACCTAACAACTTTTTTCAATAATCGTTCATTCACTCTTTCTCTCTCTCTCTCTTTCTCTCTCTCTCTCTCTTTTTCTACCACAAAATCGACAGTCACTCTTTTTACTCTATTCACAAAAGAAGCAAACTTTCACCCTAAACCCTGTCGGATTGAAAATCCTAACGACTAAAACTAACAATTTTCAACAATAAATAAAACACCACAAACTAACGAAGTGATTCGTGGAAGCTATATAAAGGAAAAAACTGCGATACAATTCTGATAGATATTCGGGCTGCTGATGGGTTCCGGTGGGGACGAAACACGTGTCTAGCCTATCCAAGCGAATACTAGTCGTCTCTTCTTTTTACTCCCGCTCACTGCCTTTCCTAGTTTGATGTTTCCATACATTAGCGCAACCGCAACAACCCTAACCCATCAATGACTATCAACAATACAAACTTACCTCTTGAAAAACACCCCAAAATTACTCGGTATCAATTTTGACACTCTCTTCTCTTTCAACACTCACACACAAGCAAATAGCCAAACACTCACACACAAGCAATAGCCAAAAAATCCAAGCAACGAAATAAAATACTTAAGTCTCTGCCTGGTACAAACTTTAGGTCAGCAAAAAGAAATCCTCCTTACCACTTTTAATTCATCTAATCAACAACAATCATCCATGCCATTGGCTATTGCTTGTGTGTGAGTGTTGACAGTGAAGAGAGTGTCAGAATTGATACCGAGTAATGCCCGCAATCTCAAACACTCTACAACTTCAGCTCAACTCGACTCAACAACTTCCTCGCAATCACACAAACATAGTTTTACTTTGTCATAATCATACTTCCACAGTTTGCAATACCATCAACTCTTTAAAATCAAACCTGATACTCAATAGTCTCTTATCAGCAAAATTGAAGCATCACTACCCCGCACAACAAGAACCGTCCTATCACAGCTACCCTTCCCACCTCCATAGTTATCTCAATCGCATAAACAACATCATTCTTGACCAATGCAACCTCTGTAACTCACCCCTCCACACTTCTCCGCACCTTTTTAATTGCTTTGCAAATCCCACCACCCTCACTACCGCCGACCTTAGGGCTGACTCAGTGGTTGTGGCTCGATTTATGGACATCTATCATGTTTTAAGGCACCCTCACAGGCGAACTAAAACAACAACTATGTCCATAACAATAATATTTTTGATAACAAATATAATGACAACAATGAAAACAGCATCGTTGACAATAATTACATTATTGATAACGTCAATAATACCAACAACAACAGCAACAACAAAAAAGGATGATATTTTATTGTATTATCGTAATTTCATGTCTTCATCATATTAAAACTGATGAGGTTATAATGATTTAAATAATAGCAAATAATATAACGCCTACTGACTCTAATGATAAAATTAAGTTAATAATTTTCTATAAAAAAAAAAACAAAAACAACTAACCTCATTTTATTAAATAATTGATAAAGTGGTAAAATACCAGAACATACGTTATGAAGCAGATACCAAAGATTTATTCGAATTAAGTTTGCTGTCTCCATGTCTTATTTTCTTTCATTTGCTCTACAATTATTAAAAGGAATAAACGTTCCGGGAAAAAACAAAAAAATGTGACGCAGTAGGAGATCAAAAAATGCAATTCTTTTTATATACTTTCTGTCATCTTGTCAAGATAATTTTATATTTTTATGTTTTATATTTTAAAGTTTTGCCCACTCCCTAATTTCCTATGCACCTAGCCAGCCGAAATTTTTAGCGTAGGTATAGGCTATCCGACAAGCGTTTCATTTGGCATCTGCTTCATACTATTTAATTTATTAATCATTCAAATTTAATTCATTTTCAATTGTCTCTGTTGTAAAATTATATAAAAAACGTGAAATATGAAAGTGTGAAAGTGTTTTTTTTTCCTAAAATGCTCCGTCGAATAATAATAATAATTCATACAGTAATGCAGCGAGTTTTGAATTAATCGGCAGACTTAATCAAAATAATAGTAATGTCATAAAGCGCCATGGCAACCATGGCAGCGCAAAAATGATGAATTAATAAAAATTAACTAAATAAAATAAATAAATGCACCAACGAATATTATTTTAAATTTTAATTATTTTAAAAATTTTGCTTTGAAACGCTTCATAGGGGATTCAAAACAATAATATCTTCTTTTTGGAGCGTTTAAATAGAAAAAAGTGTTTTTCATTTTTTTAAAAGTGTTCTTTTTTGCTATCACATCTTCAGATAGTGAATGTACAGCTTTCTTTTGATAGTTTGAATTGATGTCTTACAGCATTCTAATTTTTTTAAGTTTGTTAAATTTATCTATTTTTCTTTGCTGAGACTTTCTTCTGTGGTTTCTCCCACTTTTTTGGCTATGTTTTGCCAAGTTTTTATTCTAGTTTTATTCCATTTTATTTAAAATTTTATTCCATTTCCATTTTTGTCAAACTAGTCCGAACTATTACCGTCATCAATGAATCTGGAAGCACATTTCACGACAAAAGCTAATCATATAGGTTCAAACGAAGACATCATGAAAACACTACTGTCACATGAAAAATCTTCTATGGAAAAAAACTCAGAAATGATGCCAGAAGTTGAAAAAAAAATCCAGCTTTTTCAAGGTTCTAAAACTAACTAATTCATTTATTATTTACAACTGCAGTTATGACATAGAAATAGCATTGAATTTAATTTTGTGGTTATTTTAAAAAATATTTGTTTATCTATTTTTTATTAATACTTAGTCAGTACTCTTTAAAAATAATTGTTATTGTAAAAAACTGAATTGGACACGGATTTTAAAAAAAACGTTGTAATAAACTAGTTTTATCTCATGATAACTTTATTTCTTTTATTAGCTATTTCAATCAATCAATCAATCTTCGTTTTGCGTCCAGAGACCTGGTTTTCCAAGGTAGGACGTTGTTTTCTTTGCCATCAACTTTTTGCGCCAAATTAGACATCAGTTGTATCCATTTCATTTAAATTTAGAGCTTTCATGCCTTGCTCGATTGTTTGCGACCAGGACTTCTTTGGACGGTTTTTGGGACGTGTGCCAGGTACTTCAACATCAGCAAGAGAAGTTATGGCACTGTTTCCACTTCGTTTGACATGACCAAACCACCGCAGACGGTGTTGCCGGCATTCGTCCTTTATATCATCTAAACCAGCACGACGAAGAATTTCGGTAGATTTGATGTGGTCCTTCAGACTAATTCGTTGCATCTATCGGAGCATTTTCATGTCGGTTCGTTGAAGTTGTTGTTCCAGTTTGATTGTCATTAGCCATGTTTCTGCACCATATAACAACACTGGACGTATCACAGATTTATAAAGTCTTGATCGTAGTGGTAGTGGGATGTCACGCCGCATCAATATATAGGCAAGGAGATGCCATTTATTCCAGGCTGCACGTATGCGTGCTCGAACGGCAGCTTCAGCTGTTCCATTACAATCCAGAACATCCCCTAGATATTGAAACGATGTGATTTTCTCAACCTTAATGGCTTCAAAAACAGTGCTATTTCGAATTTGTTGTTGTGGATTGATGCAAGCAGGACAAACAAAATAGGACACTTTAGATAAAATACCAATTATTTTTGAACAACGTTTGTGACACCACTGGTTGCACTGCTGACACTTGATTGAATTGTTACCTACACCAGCTTTACAAACCGAACATGGCCATCGTCCAGTAGCTGTGGATTGGATGGGTTCACCAGTGTTCATTGCTTTGGTTTTGCTGATGTTGACTTTGAATCCATGATCGGTGAGTCTGGTGTTCCAATCTTCAAACATCTGTGCTGCATTCTGCTCAGACGTGGCTGTTAAAACGATATCATCAGCATATATTAGATTCCAAATGTCACTAGTGCGTATCGGTTTTGTGATTTCTTCCATCACAGTTATAAATAACAGTGGACTGAGAATCGAGCCTTGGTGAACTCCAACGCCGATGTCAAATGCATCTGTGTGTCCAACCGTTGTGCTGACAAGAGTTAGTATTCGTATACATTTCCATCACAAGTCGAACAAGATATTCTGGAATGAGTTGTCGACGTACACTCCACCTGATTGCTTCACGGGAACTCGATCAAATGCTTTTTCAAGGTCTACAAAAATGTGTGATAGTTGTTGATGCTTTGCGAGGTACTTCTCTTGCAGTTGCCGAAGGATGTGAATTGCTAGGATACCAAATTGATAATTTCCGATTGTGATGCACGACGTTAATCTTCTCTCAAGGATTTTCTCGACAATTTTAAGGGAGTGTTCTAACAGACGTATACCCCGATATGACGAACAGTTCAATGGATCACCTTTGCTTTTGTATAGCGGGACTGTCATGCTATAGTTCCATTCAATCGGTATTGAGCAATTTCTCCAAATTTCACGGCAAAGTTGTAGTAACGTTTGGATACCTGCAGTACCAGATGCTTTGATAATGTCATTTGTGAGTCCAGAGGGCCTTGCTGCCTTTCAATCCTTCATAGCTTTCAGAGCTTCTGTAAGCTTCTCTACAGTGATGTCTGGAATCGGACCTTCGATGGGTGGAGCGTCAAAGTTAACATTTATGGGATTTGTTTCGTTTAACAGACGGTTGAAGTATTCTCTCCACTGTAGCTAGATCTCATCTTGTTCAAGAACCATCTCATTTTTGTCATTTTTCGATACATGAGACACCTACTATGTCTTTTTTCGTACGCTTTGCTTGTTTTGCTATACGATACGGAGATTTCATTTGTTCACCTTTGCTTTTAGTGAGCCACTCTCTGCACTGATCTTTCCAAGCCAGTGCAACTTGACGTCTTGCATAGTTGTTCTTCTCACGGAATATTTTATTGTCATCAACAGACTTTGATTTTTGCCATTGCTTGTATGCAACTTTCTTTTCAGCTATTGCATTTTGTACACTGTCATTCCACCACCAAGTGTCCCGTTCATGCTGACGTTTTGTACCAGTTTCCCCACAAACTGTAGTTGCAGCGTTCATCAAAACGGTTTTGTATGTACTCCTCCAATCTGTACTGGCTTTCGATTGGTGGTCTAACTGTGTGGCGACAATCTGTTGAAATTTTTCTCGATGAACATTGCTTTTCAGCTTCCACGTTTTGATTCTCCGAGGCATTTGTTTAGACTTATGTTTTGACCGTTCGACAACCAGGTCTGCCACAATGAGTCTATGTTGGGCGACACATGATTCGCCAAGTATAACTTTGACGTTTTTGAATAGCCTTCGGTGTTGTTGCTTGACAGCGAAGAAATCAATTTGCGTGGCTGATGGTCCACTTTTGTATGTTATGAGATGTTCTAACCTCTTTCTAAAATATGTGTTCAGTAAACAAAACCTGTGACTTTCAGCAAACTCAAGGATGCGATTGCCATCTTCATTCCGTTCTCCATAGCCAAAACCACCATGTACGTTGTCAAAACCATCTGTTTTCTCTCCAACGTGGCCATTGAGATCGCCTCCAATCAGGATTGTTTCAGATTTTGGTATTGTTGAGATGGTGTCAGAGAAAGCAGCCAAGAAGTCATTTTTCATCTCTTCTTATTCGCCTGTCTGTGGTGCGTATGCAGAAAAAATAATCATTGTTTGCTTTTTTTAGGCGAAGCTTGATCCACATGAGACGTGAATCAATCCTTTTAATATCCAGTACTTCTTGGGCTAGCGTTTCTCTGACAAAAATTCCAACACCATTTTTGGCCGTCTTTTGACCATTCCAGAATAGTTTATATTTTTCTTTGTCTGAGTTGACATGACAGACACCATTCGATTTCCATCGGGTTTCCTGAAGGCAGCAGATGTCAATCCTTCTACGCTCGAGCATTTCTGCGATTTCCATGCTGCGGCCAGTCAGTGATCCAACATTGAGCGTTCCAGGTCTAAGTACCATAGAGGGGCCATTCTGAATTTTTCTGCAACATCCCTCCGCTATTGCATACTTCCCAGGGATTCTTGGCACCCCTTGACCACTTAAGGCCTGCTGGGGACTAGGGGCCGTTGTTTTTCTTTGTGATGGCATAGGAATAATTTGGGGAAAAGTTTTTACATCCGGACACCCATCCTGACGACAACCACCAGTTATAAGCGGTGGACCTAGCCTTTCGCTCAAAAGCACGCAAGGCAGCGTGGATGCAGTTTTATGTCATTCCCAAGACCATCATAACCCAGGACAAATTTATAGGACTAGCTATTTATTTTAGGATAATTAAATTTTTGCACAAATGTTTATAATTTTTAACAAACTTTCCATATTCAACTAAATATTTTCTAAACTCACTTTTCCCTATGTGAAAATCCCATGTTTTACTTTTATTATTTTGAAATACCATTAACTCCCGTGTCTTCAGATTTTAACATCTTTTACTTTCTACTGTAAAAATCTAATAGCCTGCATCTTTCATTCTCATTTTATTTTCAAACTTGAATCAACTTCATATAACATATAATATAATTTCACCAAGACTTTCTCCTTACTGGACATATAAGGTATGACAAATATTCTGGACAACATGTTAAGTTTTTTCATGTACGATTTATCATATTATCGAGCTTTTCTTTCAAATGTATCATTTGCTCAAATGGTTTTTCAAAACATAATATTTTTTCACTTTGTTGACGTTTTATTTCACCTTCTAATCTATCCATTCTTTTTAATCATCTTTACTTATCGTTCACACCTCAAACACCCACTTGTCACAAATTTCAGCCTCCGCTTCATTTTCATTCTCTTACTCTCCAACATTCGTCATTTATAGTATTGTCATTATTTTTGTCTCAAGTATATTTTTCTCTACAGCTTCCCCGAGTTTTAAATTGTTTAGTCTTAATTGAAAAGATTTTTTACCTTGTTTTTTATCGTTAAAAATGTTTAATAATTGTTGATCAAAGCTCTAATATTTTTACAGGATTCCTCTTACTCTATTATGTTTACTACATACTCCGCTATTTTCCCAGCATTCTTACATTGTTGTTACATTAACCCAACACCTCTTCATTTTTATTTTCATTTTATATTCTTCACCAGGAAACACTCATCTGATTAGTTTGTTTGAAATAAGATTAAATTTCATCTGTTGAAAATTTCATCTGTTATTTTTAACAAAAAATTTAAAACAGAGCTGGACGATGAAAACGACGCAGAGGTTCAGTTTTTAGTAACAATAAGTAATCGCAAAATACCTTACAACAATGTCTCACCACTAACGGTACAACAATTGACAAGTTCCGAAAGAGATGAATATGTTAGAACTGGTAGAGAAATGTGTAATTATTACGACTAGCTCTCATTCATTTTTTGACATTTTGATTTCATATGAAATATTTTTATATCGTTTTTAGGAATTAAAAGTTGCTTTTTCAATAATTGCTTAATAAGTGTATAAGTGACTGGGTCATTTTGTCTTTATCCTATGAACAAAGCGATATAAGAGCAACATCGAAGGCTTTTGACGCAATGCACAAGACTCTATACAAATTGAAAATCCGTTCTCATTTCGAAAGTCACCTTTCATTTTTATTTTCTGCTATTTTATTTGTCAACTTTTTGCGTTTCAACTTAGACGAAGTCAAAAATTGTGTTATCGTTGCTTTTTAATAATAATGCAACATCAAGGGCTACTTCAAATTTTTTAGCAGTTGAATATTAAAATATTTTTTGATTTTGATCATTTTATTCATACACTGCAAGGGGCCGGCGTTAGGTTAATGGAGTATACACAAAATGTACTAATTACCCCGTTAGCAGAAATACACCAATTATCCATTGAATCATTATGGAACGCTTGCGTACATCGTGTTATCGGCTGTTCAATGTTGTATATCCTTGATTTCCTATATATGCATATTCTTTACATAAAAAAAAGGTTAGAGGTCGGATGAATCAACAACACATACTAAACGGCGCATCACGCATGGAACATATAATAGGCGAAGGTTATTTTGTCATATTCAGACCTGGTCATAGTACGCACGGCGAAACAGCACCAGTAGATCAGCCACTAGTCGATCAAGCACATACACCAGATAACAAATTATACAAACAAACGGATGGAGTTACAATGGGTGTCCTATTTGCTAACTGTTACGTGGGGCATTTGAAAGAAAGTATCAATCTTCGTTTAGCGTCCAGAGACCCAGTTTTCCGAGGTAGGACGTTGTTTTCTTTACCATCAACTTTTTGCGCCACATTAGATGATCAGTTGTATACATTTCATTTAAATTTAGAGTTTCATGTCTTGCTCGATTGTTTGCGACCAGGACTTCTTTGGATGGCCTTTGGGACGTGTGCCAGGTACTTCAACATCTGCAAGAGAAAATATGGCACTGTTTCCACTTCGTTTGACATGACCAAACCACCGAAGACGGTGTTGCCGGTCTTCGTCCTTTATATCATCTAAACCAGCACGACGCAGGATTTCGGTAGATTTGATGTATTCCTTCAGATTAATTCGTTGCATCCATCGGAGCATTTTCATGTCGGTTCGTTGAAGTTGTTGTTTCAGTTTGGTTGTCATTGGCCATATTTCTGCACCATATAACAAGGCCGGACGTATCACAGATTTATAAAGTCTTGATCGTAGTGGTAGTGGGATGACACGCCGCGTCAATATATAGGCAAGGAGTACAATCTAGAACATCCCCTAGATAATGAAACGATGTGACTTTCTCTAACTTAATGACTTCAAAAACATTGCTATTTCGTATTTGTTGTTGTGGATTGATGCAAGCAGGACAAACAAAATTGGACACTTTAAATAAAGTATCAATTGTATTGAACATCGTTTGTGACACCGCTGGTTACACTGCTGACACTTGATTGAATTGTTACCTACACCAGCTTTACAAACTGAACAGGGCCATCGTACGGTAGCTGTGGATTGGATGGGTTCACCAGTGTTCATTGCTTTGGTTTTGCTGATGTTGACTTTGAATCCATGATCGACGAGTCTGGTGTTCCAATCTTCAAACATCTGTGCTGCATTCTGCTCAGACGTGGCTGTTAAAACGATATCATCAGCATATATTAGATTCCAAATGTCACTAGTGCGTATCGGTTTTGTGATTTCTTCCATCACAGTTATAAGTAACAGTGGACTGAGAATCGAGCCTTGGTGAACTCCAACGCCGATGTCAAATGCATCTGTGTTTCCAACCGTTGTGCTGGCGAGAGTCTTAGTATTCGTATACATTTCCATCACAAGTCGAACAAGATATTCTGGAATGAGTTGTCGACGTAGACTCCACCTGATTGCTTTACGGGGAACTCGATCAAATGCTTTTTCAAGGTCTACAGAAATGTATGATAGTTGTTGATGCTTTGCGAGGTATTTCTCTTGCAGTAGCCGAAGGATGTGAATTGTATCAATTGTTTATTTCCCCACTAGGAAACCAAATTGATAATTTTCCGATTGTGATGCACGACGTTAATTTTTTCTCAATGATTTTTTCGACAATTTTAAGGGAGTGTTCTAACAGACGTATACCTCGATAGGATGAACAGTTCAATGGATCACCTTTGCCTTTGTATAGCGGAACTGTCATGCTATAGTTCTATTCAGTCGGCATTGAACAATTTCTTCACACCTCACGGCAAAGTTGTAGTAACGTTTGGAAACACATGATAGGACTCAAGAAATGAATAGTGACCGAACCGCTAATCAATAATTTGATAATATTAAAGCGAGAGCAACAAGATAATAACCGGAACATTGATTGTTATAACTGCTTTACGACACTGCCGTTACTGGAACGATTTAGCGTCAAAAAGTTTTCCGAGATATATGTTTTTTCCTTTTCTTTTTTTCTAGATTTTTTCTCTTCTACAAGATTTCCTTTTTCTTGGTGATCGATATTATATCGACACAAATGTTTGAAGATAGTTTGTTTTTAATAACATCGAAAAGTTAAATTGGAAATTAACTAACGCCGAACATGCTGTGATTTTCAACAATAATTGCATTTCTGACAGTCTTAATCCTATATATATATATATATATATATATATATATATATATACTCAATATATATATACTCAATATATATATACTCAATATATATATATACTCAACATGGCGGCCGCAAAAGTTGTTATCAATGAATTGTTGTTTTTTATTTTCAATAATGGTGCAAATTTGGATAATAACCGTTTAATTAATGTTATTGCTGATAAGTTTAATACAGATGATTTTAATTCTGCTAAAAAGTTATTGCTTTCGGATTTAGAACTTTTGAATTCGTCGAATATTCCAAAATTTGTAATTCATGGTAACGTTAAAAAACTGGATAAATTAAAGAACTTACTTGAAGTTTGTTAATACATGCTTAAAGAAAAACTGGATAATAAGGTATCAATTTATATGTCTCTAAATCTGAATAAAATTCCTGGATTTAATAATGAATTAAATTTAAATGATAATTTAAATATGACATACGATAATGAAAAGCGTACAGACATTTTTGAGGTTCTAAGCACTAGTACAAAAATATTAATGGAGGTTAACAAAAGTATGGCCATGTTACAAGCTAATAACACTCAAACAATTAGTGCAAAACCGCATGTTGCACAAAAATCGACTCAAACACTGAGTAATAACAATTATTCAAAACAGCCCAATGCACAAACTACAGTTCAATATCAAGCCAACAACAATCGAGCAAATTTTTCAAAACCGACAGTTGCACATGTTAGTTGGTCCGACTGTGTACAATCTCCAGTAAATACTACTACAAATTCTGATAATTTTACGGTCTACGTACTTAAAACAAACGTGCAAGAGTGAACTAACCGATCATTAACATTACGAATAGCATGACAGCTCAAAGAACTACAACAATTGGTAAAAGACAAGCAGCCCGGTCAAAGATATCAGCGAGCAAAGTAATACAAGATAAAAAAATTCGAACACATCAGCAACGTCAACAGATGTACCAGTGATAACATAATTGAACACTTGAAATCGGTGGATGTAAAAGTTTTGTCATGCTACCCTGTTCTAAAGAAAAGTTATGCCCTGGCGCTTGTAAACAACGACCAATCTACATCTTTTAGACTTTGCGTTGACAACAAATTTACCAATATAGTCGAATCTGCCGATGCGTTGCCCGAACATGTACGCGTTAGAGAATGGCTTTTCAACACTTATTTGATGGACAACAATAATAAATCAATAATGATAATGGTAATAATGATGGTATTAATAATGGTTGTAATAACAAAGGTAGTAATAATAGTAATAATAATAAATCAATAGATGTAAAATCCAATTTGATGAACAACAAATAAATTGTCTTCAACAGCAAATCTTTTGACGCCAACAACAAGCCACTAGACGATAGTACAAAATCAATAGTTAAATCTGAAGACAACACTGTACAAATGGACAACAACACCACCGACAACCATGAATAACACACCACATATTAATTTTGGATCTATTTCGTCGAACCTTTATAATAATTCACATTTTACTATAGATGATTTTCATAATATTATCAAATCATTTGATACCCATAGCTGCAAAAATCTTTCCATTCTACACATAAATTCACGTAGTCTTCTTAATAAAATGTCTAATTTGCAAATTCTATCCAATCATTTGTGTAATTTTTTTTAATGTAATGTAATTATTATTAGTGAAACGTGGTTAAATGACGCTTCAGCTAAATTAATCAATCTTTATGGGTATAACTTTGTTTTTAGAAATAGGGCTAATCGTCAAGGTGGTGGAGTAGGTATCTTTGTGAAAAATAATCTTGTTTTTAATATTTGTCATGACTCTATTTTTAATGACCAATCTGTCGATATATTATGTATAACTTTAAAACCTGATCATACTCCTGCTCTTAAACCCTTCAAAGTTATTGCTGTTTATCGCCCACCTAATAGTAAAATAGATTTATTTATTATGAAATAGGAATTGATTTTAAATATATGTAAATAACGTATATAGTCAGGGACTTTAATATTAATCTTCTAAACTCAAATTGTATTCATAATAAAAATTTTCAAAATTTGCTTCTGTCATATGGCTTTAGTCCTTTGATACTTTTTCCTACTCGGGTTACCTCCACTTCATCTACTCTTATAGATAATATTTTTTTCTAACGCGCAGACTATGCAGAAAGTATTTGTGTCCGATTTTTTTGACCATTTTCCTATTTTCTTTTTATCTCATAAATATAGGCTAAAGTCAATGCTAGAATGCACCTCACTTGTGCACAGACTCACCAAACATAATATAAGATTAACTAAACTTTTTCTGAGATATGTTGATTGGTCAAGTGATTGGTCAGCTTCATTCAAATGAAGCTAGTGTTGACGGTGCTTGCTCAATTTTTTACAGTATAATTAATAGTGCTTTGAATAGTTTTGCTCCTTTTTCTTTGAACAAAACAATAAGTAAAAAATCATGGATAACCCATGATATCAAAATGTCTAATAAACAAAACAAGTTGTTTAAACTCTATCGGCTTAATCCTACGGTCTATAACTATTTGAGATATAAACAGTTCAGAAATAATTTCACTTGATATAAGAGGATGACTGAAAATAATTTTTTCAAACAACAATTTTCTGCAGCTAAATCAGACGCTAGACAAAAATGAGTACTGATAAATAAAATTTTAAACAATAACACTTCTTCTTTATTCATCAATAGTCTCAATAATATTAACATTGTAACGATTGAAGATAGTAAAGAGATATGTAATGCTCTGAATACTCATTTCACTAATATAGCAAAATCGAACAGTCTACACAATATTCATCTAAATTTCTAAAATCAAATAATCAGTCTATGTTTTTAAAGTTAACTAATGAATCGGAGGTTTTAAATATAGCTGACAATTTAAAAAATAGTAAAAGCACCTCAACAGACACACTAAGTAATTTTCTAATTAAACAAATCATTAACGAAGTTTTAGTCCATTTCACCCATATTTGCAATCTCTCTTTCTCGCAAGGCATCTTCCCTGAATGTTTTAAAAAATCTAAGATAATTCCCATTTTCAAAAAGGGTAGTAGAGAAGACATTAATAATTATAGGCCCATTTCACTACTCTCTCCGTTTTCCAAAATTTTAGAAAAACTAATGTTTTGTAGACTATTTTCTTTTCTGAATGCTAATAATATTATTAGTGACAGCCAATTTGGTTTCAGACCTAATTTTTCAACAGAATTAACTGTGTTGCATCTAGCCCACGCAGTGATGAATAAATTAAATGATGGTGTTTTGAAGGTTGGCGTTTTTATAGATTTATCAAAAGCGTTTGATATGATTGACCATGACATCCTACTTGCCAAACTGTATTCCTATGGTGTTAGAGATCTAGTGCATTTATGGTTCTGCTCATATCTTAAGAATAAGAAACAATTGGTTAATATTGGTGATTATTGTTCGGAGACTCTTAATATCTTTAGGAGTTCCTCAAGGTTCCATTCTAGGACCTCTTCTCTTTACACTATTTATTAACGACTTGTGTCATGCCTCTGAAATAGCCAAATTTGTTCTTTTCCACACCAAGAATCCTGCAAATGACTCGTCTATAATAAATGATGAACTTGAAAAAATAGTTAACTGGTTTACCTTAAATAAGCTTAGAATCAACTGTTCCAAATGCAGTTATTTAATATTTGGTCCGAGGATTTTAACAATTTGTTTGCCTGACTTAAATATTAATATTAACACTAACAATATTGCCCGATTCAATTAGGTTTCTTGGAGTCTTAATTAAACCATTTTAATTTTGTTTCTGACAAATTTAACAAATTAATAGGTATACTACACAAGATCACAGAAATATACTTCTGGAACTGTATAACACACTCATTTATTTTATCCTCATCTCGTTTATTGTAACTTACTTTGGGGCAATTGTCCTGCTGTGCACTTGAATCAGGTCAAACGGTGTAAAAACCGTTTCATTCGTTTGTTACTAAAACTCCATCCGTTTTGCTCTGTTTCAAAATATTACCCTGTTTTGAAAATTTTAAATATAAACATGTCCAGTCCATGTATACTTTGTCTCAATTTTCATGTCTAAATACCTACATGAATTACTTCCACTTTCTTATAAAGATTTTTTACTCTAATAAATACTATTCATAGTAAGCCTCTAAGACACAATCCTAATTTTTATTCAAATCCAGCCCGAATAAAATTAATAAATATAAGTTTGAAACTAACAGGACCGAAGGTTTTGGAAACGGTGATTCCACTTGAGATTAAAGCTCTCAGTCACTTGCATTTGTTTAAATCTAAAACTAAACGCTACCTGATTCATAAAATACTATTTTCTTGAGTTAGGAAGTTTGTTATTATCGATTATATAAAATTATGTTGTTTTTTTCTATATACCTTATGTTTTGTGCATGTATGTGTGTGAGTATGTGTGAATGATAGAATGCGTGTATTGTATGAATGAATCTATGTGTAATTTCATTTGACTTTAATATTGGATCTGTTATTATTTGAATCGTTATAACCTTAAAGAATATACTCCCCATGTACCTTTTATTTCGAACTAATTTAATCTTTGATTATTGTTGAACTACTTTAATCTTTGATTTATGATGATCAATGTTGATTTAGTTGGATAAGGGTGACTTTCCTACAAGCATTTGGTTGCATTTTAGTTTCCCCCTCTTTTTTGAGAAAAATAAAATATTCAAATAAAAATGTATATATATTATTGGTAAACCATTACCCACGTTAGGCCAGACGTACGTTTCGTCTCTCACGAGACTCGTCAGTAGCCTGCCGAATAAGGTTTAAGATAACACAACTCAATTATTGTAACCAAGAAACTCAAATCAAATTGTCATAAAAGTTACCACAGGGATAACTGGCTTGTGGCAGCCAAGCGTTCATAGCGACGTTGCTTTTTGATCCTTCGATGTCGGCTCTTCCTATCATTGTGAAGAGGAATTCACGAAGCGTTGGATTGTTCACCCACTAATAGGGATCGTGAGCTGGGATTAGATCGTCGTGAGACAGGTTAGTTTTACCCTACTAATGACTAGTCGTTGCAATGGTAATCCTGCTCAGCACGAGAGGAACCGCAGGTTCAGACATTTGGTTCATGTGCTTGGCTGATAAGCCAATGGTGCGAGGCTACCATTTGAGGGATTATGACTGAACGCCTCTAAGTCAGAATCCCATCCAGACAAGGGCAACGATATCGATATATATATTGATGAAATATTTATATATATATTGATGAAAATTACAGCAAAAGTTAAATTGGAAGTTAACTAACGCCGAACATCCTGTGATTTTCATCAAAATATATACATATATATATGTTGGTAATAGACCATAATTTTTACATTATTCTATGAATTCTACCGAATGTTTGGCGTTAATATGTTTGTAGTTCGTTTTTTCAATTTTTCTCACTAGTATGGTTTATTAAAATTCAAAATAAACTTATTTTCCGAATTCATGCTGCAAATAAGGCCATATTTCGATTCCGAATGAATCATCATCAGTGCTTCCGTTTATATAGGGGAATTGACTTTGATATATATATATATATATATATATATAGGACCCAGATTTGGAAAATGTAAGCGGTGCAGGTTCGTCCAGCTTATGATTTCTGAATTGTTTGATAAAAGCATCACCTTAAATGGACGAAACAATGGCTCTCGAAATGCTTCGAGCGGTCTATCATTTCTTGAGTATGACATTGATATACATGCAGCCCTATTTTGTAGCGGATTATTTCACAAATTTCTGTTCATTTGAACACGGAGAACCGACGTACTTAACCTGAACGAATAGCCTGTAGTGGTCTAAAGCAATTGAATTCGCTAAATTTAACCTATCACCGACGCGCATCGTTGTTCGCTGGTTGGCCTTAATTCATGCGTACAGAATTAAACAATTGCATCAACCAATGCTTTTATGCTGACCGTGTTAGCTTCAATCGGTTCTACAGACTTACGACCGAAAAACATAACGCCAATCCAATGATCAGCGAACGAGCGTTTGAAATAAGACTTATTTGATAACGTGGAGACTATGGAAATATTGGAAAATTTTGACACTTGGAAAGACGCAAGCTATAAAAAACCTTCTTATGGCGAACATAGAGCCGCAAAAAAAGCTCGTAGCAGCCAGCGCAATTAGCTTTCCTGGTAAATCACTAATTATTTCAAAACTCACCGTAGTAAATTACGTGAGTTTCAGTATCAAGGATGATTGCGTATCATATATCCTACTTCGAAAAAGTAGACACATACACTCCGATCAACTAAAATAACACTAGGTTTATCGTCTGAATGACGTCGACATTTTTAGCCGACTAAAAACATTGGAAACATTTTATTTTGTATCCTTCAATCAACCACCATTGACAACAGTTAATGATGGCCATACGATTCAATTATTTTCTGGTACTGTGGAACTTTCGATATAACATTCTTTTTCGCTTGTTCCATCAATTTCTGTGAAAATAAATAAAAAAAATATCAAAATAAAATAAAAAAATATCTCAGATGGTGATGCATGAAAAATATTGTTTTCATCTGAGCGTCAACATGTATGGTGTACAGACATCATCATCGATACCTCAAATTTGAAACAATATACAGTGCAAACTAATCTCGCCAAACAATCACTGCATACATACAAAGCAATACTGTGTAACATATGTTAGTATAAAAATAATTAGATAATAAATATTAGATAGGAATCTCAGATGGTGATGCATGAAAAATATTGTTGTTTTCATCTGAACATCAACATGTATGGTGTACAGACATCATCATTGATACCCCAAATTTGAAAAAATAAACAATACAGATTAGTCTCGCCAAACAATCACTGCGTACATACAATGTTAGTATAAAAATAAGCAAAAGCACATAACAGATAGGTATTTCAGATGGTGATGCATGAGAAATTGATATGATTTCATTTAAACATCAATTTTAATGGTTAAATTTAATCATCATGAATACCACTAATTAAGTCACAAAATAACTTTACACAAGACAAAACTATCCCCAGGTCACAACGACGATTCACATAAAATAATTATCTTGTCTAACACATCGTATAGTGGTTTCAACAAAAATTTGAAAACAAGCCAAGACTTTTTGAGTTATTTTCATTTAAATCATGTAATATCTATAAAAAACACCTAAATATCTGTGTTAACATAACAAATGCTTGCAAAGTATAAGTGAGCCAAAAATTTATACGTTTTTATACGTATGTTATTTTTGACGCGACAAATGGGTAAAATAAATTATACACAATTTTTACTTTAGTAAACAAAAAAGTAGCAATTGATTGCTACAAATGAACAAGATAATTTAATATAAACCTTTTCACATATTTTCTTTTTAAAATACAATGATGATTTCAATTTTCTTCTTTTTTCAAGAGTTGCTACAACACCTTGATACTTCCAACCAACTTCATGCGACAGCCTGCTTAACTGGCAAAACTTTCTTCGTGGCTTCAATCTATAAAAAAAATCGCCTTATTTTCTGACACCAGACATTCAAGATTAATCTCTTATTGCAATAAACTTGATACTTTCAATCATTATATGTCTCATAAACCATTTGTAACCAAACAAATAGATGATGCAAAAAGATTCTTTATATAACGTGGTTGGTAAATTTTTTAAAAGGGTTTTGTACATAAACTTGAACAATAAAAAATTCAGGGCAAAACAAATGGAAAAAAATTGAAGTTCGTACACTAAAAATAAAAATGCATGAAAATTACCATAAAATTAAAAATGTGGGAGAAACATTCATGTTTCTAATCTCTTGAGCAACCCACTAAAGTCAAGTGATTTCCCAAAATGCAGCAATATTAAGAGCTTGCGATCAGACAACCATGCAACCGACAAACATTAACGTTGTTACAAACATATATATCAGACTAGCCTAATTATGCGAAGAGCAGAAGGAACAACAAATCTTTTTTGTTTGTCATAAGGTGGAGGTACTCCCTCAAATGCTTTCAGACGATCCAAAGCCTCCTTACCACGATGTAACTTGTGTGGCAACATACCTGTGAAAAAGTTGTTGTTACACCACTTTATCAAAATCATAAACTTGTACTTTGGCCCCTAAAATATCGACTCAGGCAAAAATGCCTGACTCCAACACTCTGCTAAGTAGATCTTTTGAAATTCATAACATCATTTTATAAAAGTTGGAAAATTAATATTCATTTTTTATGCTCACTTTAACACAAATATAATAAGTTGGGCATATTTAAGATATTATTATTGTTAGTAATCAAAATTTTATTACAGTTAATTTAATATTACCTTATAAATCAGAATAACAAATAAGCAGGCTCAATTTATAGATTGTAAATAAGGCAGATGTCAGGCTTAATAATCAACAGTAGGTCTTTTCTGTAGCAGAACTGGATGTTATATTTTAATCATCATCTCATCTGCATCACAAATTTTTTAAATTAAAAAGTGTACAATTTTAACCTCTAACAGTTCTCCAAAATATTTTGCTGGGAGCTCTATGATGGTAAGGACCTCGGCTTGGATTGGTATTCATTCTTTTTTTCAAAAAATCTAAATACTTCACTGCATAAAAACACACAAAAAGGTTTAAATGAAAAATAATTCTATGTTAAGTCAAAACTACATGCTAACACTTGTTCCTGTAAAAATTTCCAGAAATGTTTATGCCCTCGCATCTTAGAACAACTATTTTCTGACCTAACAAGTTACGAAATTAACGTTGAGTAAAATTTAAAATGAGCGGCTTCAGTGAGTTATCTCATTGCATGTTCATTGAATCAACCAATGTGGATAAGAATGGCATCATTAGCCGCTAATTTAGTTTAAATATCAAATCAAATTATACTGTTTGACGTTTACCTTGCAGAATTGATTTGGCCGTGGTGGCAGCCAGTCGACCCAGAAGATGACCTCTGGCATCAATGATAATTGGCTGGATAATGAATTTTGCAACAAGTGTTACTTACAATATGAGCTTTTTCGGTGACAATATAAAAGTACAGGTTATCTCAACTTTTACTACACTTTCAATGCCCTTCAGTCACATTATGAATTATTTCTGCTACTATGTTTGTGCCCAGTAAGTAGAGTCTGAACATTTAAAAAAATTAATCCTTGTCATTAGCTTTCAGCTGGAAAATACATTATTTTATTTAGTTTGGCTACCTATGATGAAACCGAAATACCCTTCTCCACCTGCTCTCTCCATCCCAATCCCGGTCGACTCCTTCCTAACACTCCTTCAACCTCAAACTCCAACGCTCGCCTAATCCCGACCCTTTCATTCCTTCTCAACACATGTCTATACCACCGCAATCTCGATCTCCTTATCAATGTTACATAATGACATAATGAGTTTGAGTTGACGTTTATTTGAAAAAATAGTTTTATATTAAAAAAATCAAAATTAAAGTATTTGACATCGGACCATCACTAACAGATACACACAGTTACAGATATAAGCACACAATATTAGTTAACGGAACAAGCTTCAGGTTCGAAAAAAATCATTAATGGAAAAGTATACAGTGCACACACAAATTATTAGTTAACTGAACAAGCTTTATGTTCAAACAAAAAACTACTAATGGAAAAAGCATTCAAACTGACTTAAAACACTATTCAAAAAGGTTCCTTCATTAAAAATTTAAATGTACAACATTTATCTGAATACTTTAAAGGGAAGAAAAAATACAAAAAATATCATCATGTGATTTAGCTGCTTTAATTATGTATGAGATCAGATTTTCATATCAACAATTATCAACGTTCTGAAGCAGAACTGGAAAATATGTATCATCATTTCTCCATAACATAATGAACAGAATGAAAAATATAAAGAACAAAATTAAAATACATACAATTTAACTTATGAGATATGAAAAAAAATTAATGAATCATATGTCAAGCAACAAATTTGTGCTATTTTCTAGCACATTTGTAAATGTGTTAAGTACATTCTTGTTAAAGGCAAGAATGTACAAAGATCTACTTTGAGGAATTCTATATTACTTTTACAACTAAATTTTTTAAAAACATGATTTTAGAAAATGTTATAATTTTTTCTTGAACTGGGGTCTAGTGACAGTTATAACAATATATTGTTTACTAAATATTGGTGTGAGTTATATATTGCTAGTATATCAAGTCTAATTCTTAAAAACGCAGAACAGACTTGGGGTCAGTTAGTCTCACAAAAAATGTGTAATAAAACATTTCATCTCAAAAAATGCACGCAATGAACCATCTTATTCCTGGGTTGATGTCACATAACACTCTTGCATATTCACCACTCACTTGTAATATTATACCAAAAAAACTTTGAAGCAATAAATATTCTCAAACTTGTGAATGCTGCAAATGTAATGCAGACCCATTAACTCACCCTGAATGCTGCAATAATTACCATCAGCTAAGTAAAAAAAAACAACTAGGGGTATTTTACCACAGACCATATGTAAATTTTCATGTATATACAGTATCTTTTGTGACAAAATAACAGAAATATCTAGTAGTTTTCAAATATATAAGGTACTGCTGCCAAAATAAAATATGCTGCTGGGATTTTACCAATAGACTGAGGACTTAATTTTATTGCAGAGTGGTTTATTGATAGATTGCAATAGGCTTTTGTGAACATTATATTGGCTGACTGAATATTACATTAATATACCAATCAACCTCAGTAATTTCCCAATCATTCACAAACTCCAAATTTTGTCTTAAGTCAGCATACTTTCATTTAAAGAATGTTCCCTTACCAATCTCCAGTTGTTATTAAATACCATAATAAACTCAAAATTATTTCATAAAAACAAAATAGCTTAAAACTGAACATTTGTTAATGAACGTTCACTAGCTTATCCCAAGTCCATATAATAAGTCACTATGATATTCACCATCAGCTACCATAACATTCCAATCAGCCAACATAAACATTTATGATAATATCCATATCTGCAAACCAATATTATATTCGCAATCATCTAGCATAATATTCAAAACATGCCAATATGAATTTAATAGCCACAGCCATCCGCCATAACATCCTAAATTAAAATCAGCCAAACATAATCAGACACAGTATTTAATTCACAATTATCCGACAGGAAACCCAAACTGTAACGCCTACTCCCATTTGTCTATAGGTTTAATGAAATAGCTACTCAGTACTCAATAAAACCATTCAGCCTACTTGGCAAACTTGTGTTTACATCAGACATAGACTTGTCTCAAATTAGCAAACGTTCCCTAATATAGCCTTTAACCCTGACACTAACCAACTCTAATTTCTAAATATTATTTTGATTGAACTAAAAATTATTTATTACATTTATCAAAAAGAAGTAATTTACTATACTTTTATTTAGCCGAAATAGCTTAAAACTGAACATTTGCTAGCTTTTCCTAAGTAGACATAACAGTCTCATTGAAGGGTATGTCCCCGTTAAAATTACATTTGATGAGTACACAATTAGACAATTTCAAGTAATACCGCTAGAAAGAAATGTATGTATTGTCTATGTCAATGCTAACCTTGTTTATAACACATTTTGACAAAAACTCCATTCAAATAGATTACCAGTTGACTGAGAGAAACCAAATATTATATAACGATAATAAATAAATTTAAAATCAATTTTATTTGTAATTCATTTTAAAATAGTTTGCAATAAAATAATAAATATTTTAAAAACAGCTTGCGTTCATCATTCTTAAAATAAAATGTTATTCTATTTTATTAAAATAAATCATAGATAATCAATCAAAATAATCTTTATAATCAATAAATTTATGAATAAAAAGAGTTTTGGCTTGCTTTCATAAGTTACAAATTTTTAAAAAGAAAGAAAAGGAATAAAATAAATTTTTATTTACAAATAACATATAACACAAAGTCAAAAAATTAAAAACTGCGCCTTTTACCATCATTTATTTATTTACTATATTACATATTATAATATAATGGGTTAGAAGAGCAAAATGACGAAATTTACCTAGATTTGTTTGCTATTTTTTGGATTACCCAGTACCGATCTAAAATTTTTAAATATATTTAAATTATAATTAAATAATTATAATTAAATTAATTTACCAGTTTAATTTTAGTTTGGGGTTAGGCTTTATTATGTTTATTATTAATCTTTTAAAGTTTACTTTACAAACGAGTGATATGTGAACGTTAAACAATTAGATAAACTCCATGCGCATTCGAACCAATTTTAACTAAATTGCTGATGGGAACAGCTTTAATTAGTGACCAAAACTAATTTTATTCATTGTAAAACATGATAGAAAACATAGTGTCCCAACCTTCGTCGAAATCTTCATGTTGACAGGCGGAAAAGGAAAGAGTAAAGCAAAATGGATAATGAAGCGTAATATAAAAATTTGAAGAGCATAATTTTTACCATTCAAACAACCCTTGAAAAATAATTTCATCCAAAAATTTTTAAAATCTTACAAATTTATTTTTGTTTTGGAGTTATAATTTTAATGTTAAAATATAACAAAACGGTGCTCAAATTTTTTTCTAATTAAAATATATAGCTCATACCATATATTTAAAATACTTGTACATGCCTTTGAACCGCGCATATTTTTAATGCGCTTTAGAGTCTGGTCCATTGAATAGGATTAATTCGCGTCTCATGTGGATCAAGCTTCGCATAGAAAAGCAAACAATGATTATTTTTTCTGCATACGAACCACAGATAGGCGAATCAGAAGAGATGAAAAGTGCCTTCTGGGCTGCATTCTCGGAAACTATCTCAACAATACCAAAATCTGAAACAATCCTGATTGGAGGGGAACTCAATGGCCACGTTGGAGAGAAAACAGATGGTTATGACAGCGTACATGGTGGTTTGGCTATGGAGAACGGAATGAAGCTGGCAACCGCATTTTTGAGTTTGCTGAAAGTCACGGGTTTTGTTTACGGAACACATATTTTAGAAAGAGGTTGGAACATCTCATAACATACAAAAGTGGACCATCAGCCACGCAAATTGATTTCTTCGTTGTCAAGCAACAACACCGAAAGGTATTCAAAAACGTCAAAGTTATACCTGGCGAATCATGTGTCGTCCAACATAGACTCCTTGTGGCAGACCTGGTTGTCGAACTGTCAAAACATAAGTCAGAACAAATGCCTCAAGAATCAAAACGTGGAAGCTGAAAAGCAATATTCATCGAGAAAAATTTCAACAGATTGTCGCCACACAGTTCGACCACCAATCGCAAGCCAGTATAGATTGGAGTACATACAAAACCGTTTTGATAAACGCTGCAACTACAGTTTGTGGGGAAAACTGGTACAAAACGTCAGCATAAACGGGACACTTGATGGTGGAATGACAGTGTACAAAATGCAATAGCTGAAAAGAAAGCTGCATACAAGCAATGGCAAAAATCAAAGTCTGTTGATGACAATAAAATATTCCGTGAGAAGAACTATGCAAGACGTCAAGTTGCACTGGCTTGTAAAGATCAGTGCAGAGAGTGGCTCACTAAAAGCAAAGGTGAACAAATGAAATCTCTGTATCGTATAGCAAAACAAGCAAAGCGTACGAAAAAAGACATAGTAGGTGTCTCATGTATCAAAAATGACATGGTTCTTGAACAAGATGAGATCAAGCTACAGTGGAGAGAATACTTCAACCGTCTGTTAAACGAAATAAACTTCATCAATGTTAACTTTGACGCTCCACCCATCGAAGGTCCGATTCCAGACATCACTGTAGAGGAGCTTACAGAAGCTATGAAAGCTATGAAGGATGGAAAGGCAGCAGGGCTCTCTAGGCTCACAAATGACATTATCAAAACATCTGGTACTGCAGGTATCCAAACGTTACTACAACTTTGCCGTGAATTCAGGAGGAATTGCTCAATGCCGACAGAATGGAACTATAGCATGACAGTTCCGCTATGCAAAGGCAAAGGTGATCCATTGAACTGTTCATCATATTGGGGTATACGTCTGTTAGAACACTCCCTTAAAATTGTCGAGAAAATCATTGAGAAAAGATTAGCGTCGTGCATCACAATCGGAAATTATCAATTTGGTTTCCTAGCGGGGAAATCAACAATTGATGCAATTCACATCTATCGGCAACTGCAATAGAAGTACCTCGCAAAGCATCAACAACTATCACACATTTTTGTAGACCTTGAAAAAGCATTTGATCGAGTTTCCGTGAAGCAATCAGGTGGAGTCTACGTCGACAACTCATTCCAGAATATCTTGTATACGAATACTAAGACTCTTGTCAGCAAAACGGTTGAAAACACAGATGCATTTGATATCGGCGTTGGAGTTCACCAAGGCTTGACTCTCAGTCCATTGTTATTTATAACTGGGATGGAAGAAATTACAATACCAATACGCACTGGTGACATTTGGAATCTAATATATGCTGATCTGCAAGAGAAGTTATGGCAATGTTTCCACTTCTTTTGACATGACCGAAACACCGCAGAAGGTGTTGCCGGCGTTCGTCCTTTATATCATCTAAACCAGCACAACGCAGAATTTCGGTAGATTTAACATGCCCTTCATCTCTGGACCAGTCAAAAAATAGCTGGACAAAAATTTTTTACTTGGGTAATTTCATATTGAAATAAATAATTTATCTTTTAAGTTACAGAACCAATCAAAATTAAACCAGGTTTTACAAATTTTATAATTGATAAAATAAAAAAATGTGAAGATGTGTGATGTTATAATTGATAAAATAAAAAATGTATAGAAAATCCATCAAAATATTGCAAATGCTCTTTAATCCTTGATTTGATATTAATAAAGCCTCAAATAACGTATAATAGTAAAATTGGCAGGTTTTTTAAATTAAACTTTGTAAATTTAGTAGCATATGTTAGTTTATTCCTTGTGTATTTCACTATAAGCATTTTTCTTCAATTTTTTAATTTTATTGATGTTAAATGTTAAGCATAAACTAACAAACGTATTATTTGTGAAGATGACTTTATTTGATATGTTAACTATGGAGATGGTAATGAGGACATAGTTGCTTCAGAGGTGTTGGTTTTTTATGTTGTTGGTCTGAGAGTAGCTTGGAGGCATTCAATAGCTTATTTTTATACAAATAAATTATCATCTCACATGTTGAAAGATTCAATAGAGAAAGCCATTGATAAGTTACATAATGCTGGAGTTAGGGTAAACAACATTTGTTTTTCTTAAAAATATGTTAAAATTTTTATACATTATATTTAATTTTTAGGGCTGTCTCACAGGTAATGAATGGGTTGGCCACAAACGTTTCAGCATTAATAAGCTGTTACAAATTTCAACAAATATGCAGAAAATGCTTGATTTCAGCCAGCAGAAACATATTTAGCAAATCATCAAATCATCTCATCATACTAAAAGACAATGGACAATTGACATATGCCTCCAAAGAAGTATTAAAAGTAAAATGATACATTTATTTATTTTCTGGTAAAAGCAATAAATTTTAATGATTTTCAGATCTGCCAAGAATAAGAAAGATTATTAAAAATAAATAATTATTGTTTTAAGAAAAAACGTAATCGAAAGCAACATACTCCAACAATGTGTCAACGAAGATTTATTCAACATGGAAAATTATTTCAATGATGTACAGAATGCAAACCACTGTTATGAGTTAATAAAAAAAATAATAACATCATATACAAAATTAACACTTTTTAACTTAACTAAAGAGTTTTCTATCAACATGCAATCTTAATAAAAGAAAATTAAATAATAAAATGCAACAAAAATTATACAATTTAAATTTATTAAATCAATTTTTTTATTGAACTTTTACGGTGGTTCTAATAGACTACATTAAAAGCTAATTTTACAACCTTAGTTTTTATCTTATATATATATATGTATATATATTTCACTTTTTAAGATAGTTGAAATTTATGTAAATCAAATATTTTGCAGTTATATAACAAAAAATAAAACCGAAATAAAAAAGGTAAGACTGATCTAACTTTACTCATCACGAATAATTACTAATTGTAGCAAGATAGACGTTTTATAATTAACAAGCAAGAAATATAACAATTTACACATAAATATAATAATATACATGCTCATGATCTAGCACCTTCAGGGTTATTTTATAAATAGTAATGTTAATTAAAAATTATTAAATATTACATACCTATTCTATTAAAAATCAAGAGTTGTTCGTTTTAAATAATAGCCTAATGAATTTAATGTTAGTTTAAACTATTATTATGTTTTTAATATATTAATAATGTCAATTACAGTTGAAATAGTTGAAGAATTTGATTTTAACTTAAATTATTATATAATTCATTTAACATATTATTAAATAATATAAATCATAACATTTAAACAGAAAAAAAGATTGTTTGCTTTTACTACCAAAATACATTATAAAAACCTCCTGTGTGATTTAATTTGGTTTGGGTATGTTATGTTGAAAGCAAATATTCCTTTGTTTGTATTGTAAGCTTGGTAGTATATATTTTATTTATTGCTATCTTTGTTATATTTGTAATCTTTGGATTGTAAACCATAGAGGATTGTAAAAAGTTATCGAGTCTATGCTAAAAATCTACTGTAGAGGCTATATAAGAATTTGTGGATAGCAAAGGTTTCCAGCGAGGTTTGATTCGAATTTGTAATTGTGATTTATGTAGTGACTTGGAATAGTTTAGTGTTTCTATTACTGTTGGCATTTAAATAAACGTTCAACAAAGTTTGTTTGAAGTAACAATAGTTGTGTTCATCTATCGGAAATCTTGAATCTACGGAATAGCAATAACTTGACGATCGTTGGAAGCTAGAACACTGGTGTTGGAAATATAGAGATCTTTTGAAGTTGAAGGTTCTTTTGGATCTTTTGAAGGTTACAACAGTATAATTAATTTACACTCAAAATTAATAAGCTTAAAAATATTACAATTAAAAGAAAAATGGTTAGAATAAATAGGAGAAAATTATGAAAAAGGCCAAAATTTATAGACGGTGATTAAATTCAAAATGAACACTTTTATGAAGATGTAATATTGAAATGTAATAATATGTAACCAGTGTTGGACTTGCTTAAAATACCGGCCCACATCATCACTATTTTTGATTAAATTCAATTTATATATATATATTTATTTAGTTTCTATGATTATTTCATTCATTTAGATTTCAAAAGTATCACTTAAAGATGTACATGAATAATTTTAATCAATACACGTTTACATTTGTAATTATGCAATGAAAAAAGTTGATATAATGATGACTTGAATCTAGTTAATATATTGCTGCGGTAAAATTATGATGTAGATTAATGACCAGATATTTACAAATGCAGATGAGAATGCAACAATAAACTCTTTCAGAAATAATACAGAATATTATAAAGAGATTTTAAAAAAATGCATGTTTAAATTCAAATAAAAAATTTGATAACATTAAATGATTAGATATAAAGGCATACAAGTTAGATAAAGAAGGTCTTGAAAATAATTTTTCAATAATGGGGTATAATTTATATTTACAATTTTAAAAATTTTTTGTCGTCAGCATAATTTCAAAAACTAATTATGAAAGAAATAAAAAATTGAAGGCCTAAAATGTTTTGAATGAAAAATCAAATTCCAAAACAATGAAGAATTGAAATAATTGTTGATGCATTATTGTTTCAATTAAACGAATCAAATGTGAAAACTCAATTAGAAATGAAATATGATTGAAGTATGTATGTTAAAGTATGTTGAAATATTTTGAAAATAATGATTTCATAAATAACAAAATAAATGAAATATAAAATAATGAAGATGTTAGAGTGACGGGTTTTATGAAAACATAATGACCAAATAAAAAATACAGATTTTACCAATAGATAGCAAAAGATTTGTGGTTTTTGCGAAATGAAATGAACGTACATTTATATATGTTTTTGCAATAAGTCTAAGTAAACAAAATAATGATTATTTAATCCATTAAATGTATCTGTGATATATATTCTTTGAGATTTAATAAATCTTCATTGGCCAACCTTTTAAAAACATTTGAAACTACAGATTAAGTATTCATTTTTTGTTGCTCGGTTTCCATTTTTAATTGCCTCTATGTTACATGACACATCTGTTTATTAAATGTTAGGAATAGTTTATTAGTAGCCGTCAATGTTGTTAATGATTGTTAATGCATTGTTCTTATTGTTATTCAATAGTTATATATGTTTTCTTGTATACTGTTTTATGATGATGATATAAAAAAAGCATAAAGCAAAAATTTTTATAAATCAATTATTTTAATAACCTTGACGACACCACGGGAAGGAAAAACCAAACCACCGTCGTCCTTTAATATAAGTAGCTGTTGGTAAAACATGGCGACTCTACCTTTTTTTTCAACAAGTGCTAGCCAGCATTGATTACAATCTATCATCTGGGTTACTTTTCGAACCACCCATCCAGCAATATATGCCACTGCATTATCGATCATGGTTGACACTGTGTTTCGATTTAGAAACTCCAGTTCTAAAATAGCTTCCTCAAAAATATGTTGAAATTGTTCTTTGAGTATTTTAAATTCAGAATCTTCTTTAATTGTTCCTGTACATTGCCTGAAAAGTTAGATAATGATAAACATAAAATATCATCTAAAAGGTATGTATTTTTAATTTTTGAATAACCTGTTTTCCCAGGGACAATCCCACATCTGAAATAAACTCGTTTAAAGATGGTTTCCAACTGTTGTACATTGGGATTGTCAATGCATTTTTCTAAGTCAAATTATAATATACGAAGTTAAAGTGTTTGAAAAATTACTTTAAAAATTTTCAAACCTGCACTTCTGATAAAGTTGAAGAACAACTCCAAATGATCCTGATTGAATTTGTACGTTAGAATAAATTTTTGGGTTGGAAGCAATGATACAATTTCAACAGAAAATGTATAGTGAAAAAATAGTTTCTAATTTATAAAATTTTCTTACAGGAATTTACAACCAATCTTGAGTTCGGTTCATCATTGATTTCTTTAAGTTTTTTTAATTTTTTCTTTAAATGCCTGAACATTTAATTTATATCTCTTTATTCTTCTATTGCAGCTGTATAACACTTTCCTTGTTTTAGTCAATGTCGTACTTAATTGATTAGCTTTCCTTTTCAAACTTCTCGGCATCAAAGCATCAATACCAGTCTGTTACATTTCAAGATTTCAAGTATATATTCCAAAAATTTCATAAAGTAATTTTTTAAATGGCAAATCAGTTTTTTGAAATAGAAGCATCAATGAATGCAAGCCATATTAAAAATTTCTTTAGATAACTATTTGTATTTGAGAGTTGCAGAAAGTTTAATAAATTTTATTTGTTACGTATATTATGTTATAACCTGTCAAACATACAAAGCAATTTAACAGCAGATGCTGATGGTTTTTCAACTGGCTGCGATGATGTTGATGGTAAATGAAATGTTAAATTATTAAAGTTTTATTAACACTGGACGTTTTTGAATATATGTTATTATTTGCAAGGCATCTAATTAATATCTTTAAGGTGATAACTCCGGTCAGAACGACAAGACAAATGTTTAATTATATTTATCTTATACATAAAACATAAACATGCTTCTTATTTTTTAATATAAATATAACAAAACTTAACGCAAAGCAAATTTTTAAAAATATTTAATAAAAACTGAAATTTGTAATACTTGGTGGCTTAAAATGTAACACAATCTTGATAATATATAAATACAAAAATACGAACCAAATTTACACTTGACATCACATCAGTTATTAACGTTGCAGAAATATTATCGGAAACTAACTTTACATCAGAAGAAGGCCAAAAATACAAAATGTTTAAATTATAATAAAAGCAGGTTATTGTTTACAAAACTTCAAAAATTAAAATAAGTTTATTTTTGGTATATAATAAATCATAACATAAATAAAGAACACTTCAGAAAAATTATCATGACAACAATATCTTAATTTCAAAATTATAACTTTAAAAACATTTAAATTATACAACAGAAACTTGAAATGATTGGAATAAATATACGTAACACTAACCTTGTCAAATATCGTTGGAAAAACATCTTTTTGAAGAAAAATTTTCAAACCAACTTTATGAAAACTTTCTGGTGTAAAATGGTTGCTACAAATTAATTATTAAAATCTTTTTTCATCCTTATTGTCAATGTATTTTTTAATGAGGTTTTCCATTACATTCTCTTAATATCATTCTTTGGCAGTCTGAATTTAAATTTAACTTAATTAATATCAGCACAAATTATTTATACAACTTTGAGTTAACATTATTTATTATGTTACTAATATTATTTATTACTATTATATTATATTATTATATATAATTGTTTGCTGATTATTATAATTATATTGTATAGTGTTATACTTTATAGCTATAGTATAGTTTAGTCTAAATTAAATTAACCTGTGTAAAGTAACATTTTCATTTAAATAAGATGAGTGGCATTTTATAATGAACACTGGCATTTTGATTCGGTTGAGAATTGGTGTCTGTCAAATCAAATACTAAGCAAATATTTTCTAATTAAAATGTTTTATTGTTTTTAATATTATTTTGACAAGTTAAGAATTAAGATTCTCTAATAGTTTAATCTCAATGTCATGTCATGTGTACTTAACTACTTATGTGTATAATGTTTATGTATGTATGTATTATNGTATGTATGTAGTAAGAATGTAAAATGTATAAAACGAAATGTATAAATGCAGAAAATTATACTAATCCCTTTTCTTTTTTAAATGTACTAAATATAGTATATAATATATAAAATGCAATACGAAATCGAATTTAAAAAAGAAACGAGACAAAAGCTCGGCTAGCGATAGTTTCAGAATAGACGATTAATTAAAGACGCTGATGAAGACAACGACAATGCTTGAACCATAGAATAAAAAACAATCTTTGTTATAAATTTTTTTTTGTGCTATATCCATGAAACCAGCACTTATACATAAACTAATAACATATACTGGAAGTGGATAATTATCGCTCACTACACCATGTAAGTACTCGTTTCATAAATTAAAATATTTCAATGTAGTAAATATAAACATAATTTTTAACGGAATATGACACTATTAAATATAACGACAACAACGAAATACGTACGTTTGAGCACAAAATTTTTCGTCCAAAAATTATTGTTCTACGGATAAAGGAACACGCAATCCAAATTTTTTTTGGTGAAAACTTTGGCTCTGCATTTCGCTTTTAAGTTAGTGTAATGATAGTGATGTTATTTTTTTAAAACAGATAAAAAAATTTAAATTTTATGTTGTCTCTATAAATTGTAACATGGTTCTTTAAACACGCTTGTGATATAATAAATTAGGGCCGATTTATTTGACAGGGCCTAAGGCTATAGCTTTATTAGTCTAATGGTTAATCCGGCACTTTAGCCAACTTGTCATAACCACCAGAACGATAGTATAATATGAATCGGTAATTTGAATAGGGTAACATCAATGGATTTTATTTCAATATGTGAATATTTTGATGGAGTGTTTATATTTTTATATGAAACTGAATCTTTTATGATGAAAGCCACACCGTATTTCATGATTTTTTCTAACAAAAGCTTAGCCAAGCGGTATCTCTGCATAGATGATTAGATCTATATCTGAGTTAAGATGTACATTAACTATGTCATTTATGTGTATATTGAAAAGAAGTGGTCCGAGGACACTACCTTGTGGAACTCCGCTTAAAATTGGTAGTTTGTTAAAGTTTTTATTTTTTATTGTAACATATTGTAGACGGTTTTCTAGATATGTTTTTTTATAAGATTTAGTGGTAAGCTCCTAATTCCATAGTGCTCTAATTTATATAATAAAATGTCAATATTAATACTAAAGCTGTTATAAAAGGAGATCATGCTGCCAACTTGGAAAGTCATTTGAAACGTAACCATGATGAGGAGTTTGAAAGTGTTCAGCAAAGGAAAAAGTTAAAGTATGATGAAAAAACAGCTATTGCCACCAATCACCCAGATAATCTTATAGAAACACTAGACTACACAATTTCAAAATTTAAAGAGCTGAAAATCAAAAGGCCAATATGAGATTGCCCAACCAAATGGAACAGTACATACAATATGATGACATCATGATTACATTGCAAACAGTTTAATTTAACCTTAGCAGAAAAAAAAGTAGCATCGATTACTATTTTTCTGAAGACAAATGGGAAAAACTTAATTTATTAGCTACTGCACTCCATCCTTTATTTGAGACAACATTGAAGCAATTGACACTGAGTGATTTTTATGGTGTTTGGTTGGAATGCAAACTAAAATTGAATAATCTGAAAAATTTTTTTGAAGAGACTTCATCAAAAAAGTTGTTATTAAACAATGAAAGCTTGTTGGGATCCCTTTATTTAGATCCAAGATTTCAAATATTGTTATCTCAGTCAAAAAAATGCATGCAGTGCAACATCTAAAGTTACTTTGGAATAAACTAGTGTTTTTAGAAAAATTTGAATTAAAACTTATAGCTCCTTTAGATGTTACATCAAGTAAGTTAATTGATGAGCCTTTGGATGAATTTGAAGAGTTTCTAAAAAAGGAGGAAGAAATAGAGGAAGAAATAATAAGTGTTAATAAGTTTTTTCAAATGTCTAGTAATGTTGATATAGAATATTTTTTAAAAGAGTTGGAAAATGTGCAGAGGTTAGACAAAAAAAATATATTTTTCTGTTTTGGGGGGATATAAATAAGATAAGAAATAAATAAGAAAGATAAATATCCTCAGTTATACAAAGTAGCAAAGGTAGTGCTTGGAGTTTTTCTGGATTAAAATTTATCCTCAAAGACTGCAGAAGTGGTTTAAATGAAAACATTCTAGAAGATATATTAAAAATCAGAGGAAATTTTTATCTTTTTTGAAACAATCTTATATTTATATTAGTGATTTCAAAATATCTTTATAATGATTGGTTTAATTTGTTGAAAAAATATTAGAAACGTTTCTTTTTATAATGACAAAATTTAATAATCATTTTTATTTTTGATTTCTTATTATTCACAATCTAAAATTTAATTCAAATTTGCATTGTGGTGATAGTTAGATGTCCGTTAAATACGTTTAAGGAACTATGCTTGAAAAAATGTGGTGATAGTTGGATGCATGGAATTATATAATTCAATTAATAATTATTATTAATTATAATAATAATAATAATGATGATAAATATAATAATAATAAATTATTAATAATTGTTATTAATAATTAATATTAATTATTAACTCAATGGTTGGATGTCAGTTACATGGGTTTAAATAACTATGCTTGAAAAAATTAAGTTTTGGAGCAAAACCGAAAACCAAAAATCCGAAATTATTTCAGGAACAAAAACCGAACCGAAACTCTGGAATATATTCTACATATACGATTTAACACTTTCATACATTTTGATTTTATTTTGGTGATATGGCTTTCGAAGTTTAATTTTTGATTTTTTATATGTTATCAAGGAATTTTGAAAGAACAAATTTTGTTATTGTTTATTGCGTTTTCGTGAAAATATCGTTACTTTTGTTTTTCGGGTGAAAATTTTAAGTCTTTTCTTTTGGACCAATTTTCTTGGTTGAATAAAATTTCATTTATCTTTTTTTCTTTTTTTGTAAATCTTTAACTTTTTGTTTTTAATGGAAAATTGTTAGATCATCCATATGTAATAAAGTTAGCACATCGTTTGGTCAAATTTCAGCATCTGACTCTATATTATATATAAATAGAAGATCATTGGTGATAAAATGCTTCCTTGAGGAATTTCAATTTCAGTATTTAATTTATTTGAATATTGTTATTTATTTTAACTTTATAAAAATCTTCACCAATGATCTTCTATATAAATAGAAGATCATTGGTGATAAAATGCTTCCTTGAGGAATTTCAATTTCAGTATTTAATTTATTTGAATAATGTTATTTATTTTAACTTTATAGCCCTATAAGATCGATTCGATAAAAATTTTTTAACGAATGATGAATGATATCCTCTTAGTCTGACGTTTTGCAATTTTTTTTATATACTATACCTCCAAACATATAACTAGAAAAATTTTTCGATGTCAAATAATTACAATTATTTCATCTTTATTTTCTAAAGCATGCAACGTTTTCAATGGTTTTCAATCATCCTTTGGTATCTCCAGTTTTTTTGATTGCTAAGAACTCTGGATTTAATTGATTTTCAGAAAATATTTTTTAAAAACTGAGAGCTAAATGGTTTAAATTTTCTTGGTCGTTTTCAAATTTTTTATTGTTAAATTTTTCGATGGTTTGTTTTATCCAATTGTTTTTATTGCGTCGATCATTTATTAAATTTCATTTAAAGGCAGATTAACAATTCTTGTCTAATTAGCATTTTTTCTCTTGAAAAATATTACTTTCAAGGCCGGCTTTAGGCATAGGCAAACTAGGCAGTCGCCTAAGGCCTTCGATTTTTAGAGGCCTCGCAATGCAGATTAAAACAACTTTTTTTAAAAAAAATTCTACTTCCATGAATTAATTTTAAATACCCAACTGTTTTATTTTTTAATTAATCGCAGTATTATGCAGCACAAATTTATCATAAAACAAACGTATTCAGGTTGAAATTATTTTAAATGTGTATAATTTTCTTGTGCACATTTTTTAAAAATGTCACTTGGGGCCACCAAATTTTCTTTGCTTAGAACCTCCTTTTATCTACAGCCGGTCCTGTTACTTTTGACGTTTTCAACAAAATTCATCCAGCGGTGTTATTTTTCTTGTCTTAACCCGGGCATCGAACTGGAACTGAACCGTAACCGAAAACCGTTGAAAACCGTAATTTTGCTCGGAACAAAAACCGTAACCGAACCGAAATATTGTTTGCTAGTTAAACCGAAACCGAAAACAGTAACGAAATAAATAATGGTTCGATGCTAAAAATTAAAAAAAATTTTTTTGACAAATTCAGAAAAAAAATATTTAGATAATATTTCGTCTTTTGAAATTCTATTAATTTTTATCATCTTTAAAAATTTGTTATCTTTTTTTTCGTTTGTTTTTCCGACTGACCTCGCCGATAATTGAGTAAGAATTGCCACGTGAATACCAGCTACACAAACGAGCCTGGAAATATCTGTTTTTTATATTAAAATTTATCTTCAGAGACTGCAAATGTGGTTTTAATAAAAACATTTAATAAGATAAATTAATTATCAGATAAAATTTTCATCTTTTTTGAAACAATCTTATATTTATATGACTGATTTCAAACTATCTTTTTAATGATTGTTTTAATTTGTTGAATAAAAAATATTAGAAGTGTTTTATACTGACAACTTTTAAAAATCATTTTTGTTATTGATTTCTTATTATTCACAATCTAAAATTTAATTCAAATTGACATTGTGGTGATAGTTGGATGTCCGTATGTCTGTTACATGCGT